ATCATTTATTATTATTCTTGCTTAGGATTACATCTTCTCTCATCAAAGGCTTAGTCCATCAGTTTCAACATCATATTTCCTAAAATCCTGCCTTAAGGAAGTTTAATTGTTCTTGAGAATTGGAGAGTAAAAAAAAACGAAATAAAAACGTCATACCTGAGGTTATATGAAGAGCTTCTGGAAGGATGAATGTCAAAATATTAAAAATGGTTTCTGTGTTTTAGTTAATTGTTTATTTATTTTTTTTTTTGGCAGAAAAATCAAAATTATGAAATAGATCAGGATCCAAAAACTTTTAGTGAAAAGAGCAAAATACAAAAACACCGAGTAAAATGAAGAAGCCTTCTGCCCACCAGCCCTGCACTACGCTGTTTTATACACAAGGCAGAAGCAGAAGTTCATAAACTAAACGTATCTGCAGAAGAACACATTTCTTTATTATTGCAAATGTAAACCTCAAAGCTCACAAGTCATAGTCTTCTTCTGTTAATTGTGAGCTGCACCTTCCTTTTACTTGCTAACCTTCATCTGTTGCACGGCCTGTTGCAGTGTGCATAACCTCTGCGTCCTCTTCTGCACTTGAGCTGTTCACACCTTATTCTTGGTGTCTGACTTCTCTTTAAGTTGCTTCACCTCCACTATTCTTAGATTGTTGCTTTTGTACAGCCCTAATATGCAAAACTTTAAAATATCTTGGATTTTAAAGACACAAAAATCAACTGATTGTAAGATACACCTTCATCAACACACTCATATCCCCCCTCCTTCATTACAGAATAAAACTGAATAACCATTTTTGAATGTTTTTTTTGTTGTTGTTGTTGTTTGTATCCAGAGGCAGACTGACATACTGTTCAACCAGGAGTTTATAATCGATCAATTGATTGGTTTAGGCCCGGTTTGAAATCCCACCAACAAAAGAGCATTAGCCAATTGCCACATTGCCTCATTGAAAATGCAAAGCTCCTATTGCTGTTCTACAAAAGGACAAACTGGAATTGGTCTTTGAAGAAAAACGATTAACATGTTTGCAAAAAAAAAAAAACACTTGAAATGGATTTTCAGTTTTGACAGGGGCTTTTTAGCACCGTAAAAGTGAGCACATTTTAGTAAGCTATATGCAACACTGAATGAATAACTACCTTAACAACCATCAAGTGATGCTTAGAGACAATAGGCAGAGTTTAGGAGAATCTCAGGAGATACTTAGACGATCAAATTCAGATATTCTGTTATTGATTTAAGACCAAACCCACTAATAAAACATCTTCATCAATGTTGAACATCAGAACCAAAGTCCTGGAAAAGGACAAGCTATGATTAGGTTCTGAAGAAAATGTTGACAAATGAAACAAATATTAGGATATTAATATGAAGAAACATTTTTTTATAAATTTGTAATTATTTTTCTAGAATACATCTGTAGCGTTAAATCAGTGTCCATTGCTGTAAGACGGTGTTTAAAAAAAATCGTAGCTAAGCACCAAACTAAAAGGAATGGAAGGGAATCCTTTAAAGCTAAAAGCGCATTTAATTTTCACTGAATCGTCAAACAGGAGAGCACAGAAACCCAGAGCGGATGTTTTCCATGTACACTCTTCCAGATGGTTTTCTCAAGATCATTTTCCTTGAATTCAAAAAGTCAGTTTTAACACACAATCAGTCATCTTTTTATTTAAAGTCACAGGCCGCAGTGACTTATATTAATTCATTCATCTACTATTATGCAAACAATACACACACAATCCTTCTTCTATTGTATAATTTAATACGTGCACAATGCTGACATTCATTAAAGAAATATAATGCATATTTACATAATAATGTATTTATTGAAGTTGCACAGAATTAAGAAAAATAACAGTATTTTCTTCCAGCAGAAATACTTTCACATTAGCAAAACGATGGTTTTAAACCTGTTTTCTAAGCTTTAGCTTGCAGCAGTTAAATGTTTCTAAGCAGCATAGAGAAGTTCGCCATTAGCTTTATGCTACAGACTAAATGTCTGCATGTTTATCCCAAGTGAGGAAGTTAGGATAAACTTCCTCACAAAGTTCAATCTGAACTTTCTCTTTAAAGATCAGTCATGTGTAAATTTAGAACAAGATGAAACTGTTCTAAATTTATATGTGTGAAGAAAGACAATCACAAAATGATTTGGTTTGCAACTTGGCAGTTAAGATTGCTTTGAACACCAGTAGGTTTCAGAACATAGACAGTCTTACAGTCGCTAAGTTCAAGAGGTTTATCTTTGCTGATTATCTTGAACGTCTCATAAGGTGGAATGAGCACCTCCTGCTCATGATCTCCAAGCACTGCGTATTTTTTCAGATAACCTCCATAGCATGTTGTAATTTTAAAGCATGTTGTCTTACCAAACTTTGTCAGAGTTGATAATTTGGAGGAGGAGGCAAAAGAACCAAATCGAATTTCTTGGTTGATTTCACCTGTTAACGTGCATGTGGTTCTACGGAAAGTTGTGTAGCATTTATTATGGTTGAGGATCTGTATCGCTCTGGTCAGCCAGAAATGCAAAGAGTGGAATGGAAAAGATGAACTATATTGTTGTCTATTGGTCCGGACTGCGTCATTGAATGCCTTAAAGAAGTCTGCTGGTCCTCCAGCTGTGTAAACACAAATTGCTTGCATGTGATCTTTTGTTAGAGCTTCATCTCCTGGTTCTTTGTGTTTCATATTTCTATCTGCACAATTTTTTGCCGCGTTCCATGCCTTGCTGAATACATTATTTTTCATTTCCCTTTCAAAGTACGTCTTCTTGACCTTTGCTTCCATCTGTGCAGCACAGGTAGAGTACATGTCATCAACAGAGTTTACAGCCATGTCCAGTGGATCACCAATCTAAAAGCAATGAGAAAAAAAAAAAAAAAAAAAAGAGAGCAAAACAGGATGGAGATGAAGTTACATTCGCTTCACGTATTTAGTTGGAAATGACAGTGATGTTACATACTTCAATGTAGGAAACAAATAAATAAAAAAAGACAACAACATTGCAAACTTAAAATTTAAATGACCTTTTATGAATTTTGAAGGTAGAATTGTTTTGATGTAAGATTTAGACCCAAAAATTAAATTGCCCATGCTGCTGCAGTAAATATAATTATTTTTACTTTGGAAAAAAACAAAAAAAATCTAATTTGAAGTATATTAAATTTGACACTAACAAAAAGAAAACTTACCTTCTCTGGTTGAGCTTGAAGCAAGCAGCAAAGAGACAACCACAGAGAACCAATCAGGAACATTTTGGCCTTCATCCTCGCAACCCTGCAACAAATGAACAGTTCAGAAAGACAGGAAAACAATATTGATCAGTGTGATGACTATATATAAGAAATATTATAATTTTACCTCACAGGAACTCCAGCAAACACTATACTTGTATTTTAAAACCGTACTCAAATATTACCTTATTCCAAAAGCAACGTTGTTCTGTAATATATTATCAGGTGATGAAGCGTAGGCCAGATGAATTAGGATTTCTACAGTGGCTCCTCCTTAAATACTCTGCTGTCTAGGAAAAGACCCGCCCACAGACACACACGTGGAAATGCTTTTAAAAAATGTGGTCATATAGAGTGCTGGTGTGTTGCTGGTCTACACTCTAAATTACAGCATTATAGAGTGTTTACTACAGTTTGAAACAAACAACCAGTCAAACTGCTTCATTCAGAGCTAAAAATTAACTTTTTTTTTTTGCATACTACGTATTTTTAATCTACCCATGCAAATGTTGTTTTCACCTTATTTGATTTCACCTGTAATTAAGGAAGCTGTAATTTAAGGTTGACAACATAAAAATACACATTGCTTTTTATATTTATATATTTGTCTTCAGTGTGTTGGCATGCTTTGGTGAAACTTATGTTCTCTGATACTGAGATTAAATAACTAATATCTAGTCTTAATCAAGTTTGCATTTCAGTTTACTTTCAAACTAAAGAGTGTTGATGTTACCGTGCATGGAGAAATGTACTTATGAAAACGTTTTTTTTTTTTAGAAAAGAGGAGGATGTTGTATAGAAAAGCAGCTTATCTACAATAAGACCTGTAAAACAAGAAACACGTTTGCTCAGTTCTGACCCGCTGTTGTGATCTGCAAAATGACATCATCTCTATCCTACGTGCAAAACTTAGGTTTTCACATTCTTAATCACTGAAAAGAAGAAAAACCACACAAATTCACCCCTTTTTTCTATTTCTCATTTTCCCCATTTTTACACTCAGACTAATGTCTGACTAAGCTGCAGCATGTAACTTTAGAAAGTTACATGACTAAGTCTGTTCTCAAAACTCTTCTCAATCATTACAAGTTTTGAGAAGAAAGACATGAAGTCCTGCTTTCAAAATAAAAATATAGGAAAAAGTATTAAAAGTTTTGAGGGCATCCACTGACCCCGCTCCGTCAGTTTACGTGGCATAACCACATAATTAGAGTTGCATTAGAGTGTACCTTTTTTTGTGGTAAGGCAGTAGAGGTGCATGACCACAAGCAAGAAGTTCAAAGTTGGCTAATCATGACCAACACACTGATATCTAATTCATCATCCCTTGTGTTTAAAAATGGGGTCCAACTGACCCCACAAGTGTTAATAATTAGAAGAGACGTATCATTCTTGACACTTGTTTTTCCACAAACTTCTCCTTCTACATAACCTGAAAGAAAGGTCAGACAAATAAAGAAAAACTTAAGTTTCAATTTGATTTGCATTCAAGAAAAAGAGAAGTTTCAAAGAGTGACACAATTACTTTTGCTATTGAGACACCAAAACAAGTAAAATAAAACAGAAACAAAAAACAACAGTTTAAAACTATACAGCTATAGTAGTACTGATGTACTCATTGAAACTAACCTTGTTAATTTTCCAAACACATAATTGAATCTGTCTGTTAGCAGTTTGCATCATTATCATTTCATGCTGCTTCTGTGGTGCGTACACAAACTTGTCCAGGACAATAACAAGCATGACAAACGTACAGAAGCACAGAGAGGAAGTGAAAACTTCTCTCTTCCTCAGTCATCTGTCTAATCTGCGACTTCATGTTGTTTTCAGCTATTTACCATCAGTGTCTTCTTCTGTGGAAACTTCTGAGGACCTTTTGCCAAAGTTCAGGAATACATCACCAGGCAGATAAAGTGAGACTCGGTGAACTCACTGACCTTCTGCGCCTGTTTTATCCTGTTTGGGGGCAACAGGAAGGCTGGAAGCAAACCCAGGAGACCCTGAAGTGGAACCAAAACACACAACGCAACCTATGGGGGAATTTAACTGCCAGAAGTCGAGATCTTACATTTTACAATCTGAAATCTTGCGGATCAAGGAGTACCGTCGCCTCACAACTGTTCCAGCCAATAGAATTACAGTTTTCCACTTGGTACACTAGATAGTTGCATCTCCTTTTCGTGTGTTCTCCTTCTTTATGTTTACAAAAGAATAATCGTTTGTTTTTGTCAAATTAATGGTTTCCCAGCTGAGCAAAACTTATAAAAAAGATTATGGCCATTTCGCCTGCAATCGTTTGTCATGCGAATGTAAAACTGACAGCATATGTATGTTCTCTAAAATCAATACCAGCTTAACCCGACTTAAACACCTGTTCAGGATCTTCTAATTTACACTATTTCATCTTGATCCATTGAATGACTTTATTAAAAATGTAATATATTTTATCTTTAAAGTAGACATATCATGCTTTAAATCCTTCACTTTTATTCAGTTCAGGTCAATATAAAGTGGAACAGCAATACTTTGGTCTGACTTTGTAATTTAAAGCCTTGAAATTGGGTGTCTGTCTCTTTAAGGAACTCTTCAGGAAGTCATCACATCATCACTCCTTTTCTAGCTGCAGTTGAAGCTGTGCTCTGATTCTTGATTGTTTCTCTTTAGGTCCAAAAATACTTAATTCAGTTTTGCTTCCATTGACCTGAAGGAAGTAAAAGCACATCCACACAATCCTTTATTTGATCTTTTAAGTTCTTGAACAAGTTCACAGCAGGTGCAGATTGGCTGCTTTTAATCGGGCGGTGTCCAGTCATGGCACTGTGTTGATACGCTGCTACCGCTGCACCTTGGGCCGAGTCCACTTTAACTATAGTGTAACTAGAGTTGAAACATAGGACATGTTGTAATGACTTTGACCACTAGGTGGCGGGGTTGTTGCTTGAATTCTGTTCTTGTGCCGTAAGTTAGAAACTAAGTAAACGCTGCTGGACCTGAACTGCATCATCTCATCCCCAACTTAGTCAGAAGAAAGACGGAGCCGTCAGTCCACAGGTCCAGAGTGGACGGGAATTTATTGAGTGAATAATGTTAGAATTAAAATAATGAGTAAAACAGCTTTTTGTGAAAAGTTACATGATAACGATTCAGCTCATAACTGATCTGAATTCATCAGAGGATTTATTTTGTAAACATGTCAGATTTCTGATAAGAGTTATGACCATTTTTAAATGTATACAGATATTAAATAAAAGGGAAACCAGCATGGAACCTTGAGGTACTCCATGTGTGATTTTTGTCAGCTCTGATGGAGAGTTACCTGTTAACATAAGGTAGTCTCTGTTTTTTAGGTAAAACTCTAACCAGTTGTTTAAAACCCCACTGTAGTTCTAGGTTCTGTAGTGAGCACAGAAACTGGACTTTTGAACATTTGCTATGCAAGGTAACATGTTTGTTTACACAATCCAAACATTCATACTGTAGTTCAATTTTGCGCTTGATCTTTTCTTGAGTTTGTCAAGAATATTTTATGAGCAACATTATTTTATCTGAACACAGACGCAGCAAGGCTCAGGTGATCCAATGTGACGTTTATTAAAACAGAAAAATCAATCAGGAAACATAGCAAATGTAAAAAATGAAAGATCACAACCATCAAATATTTAACTACTTTAAAGACACTTAAAATCTTTTACAGTTCATTTAAAACATTTTCATTTAAAAGATTTCAAATAGCTTCAATTCACCACAGATATCGTCTTACATAAGACAAAGGATTCAAATTCAAGTCAAATCACACTGAATATATTTTGAGTCAAATTAAAGTCATTTCAGTCTAAAACAGTCCAATCATGCAGATTTAAATCTAGTTTCATATGCAGTTCACAATTCAAATTTTAATACAATACAGTCAAATGCAGATGATCGTTTCATTGTAGTCACGTAAGAAAATTACAATCTAAAGCAGCTCATCTAATTATTATGAGTTCTTGAGTTTGCAGCAA